TATTAACTGCTTACTTGGGGAGAGATGTACCTTTGCAGCTGTACCAGTCCAAACTCTTATAATAGACAGGCTGCTCTTATGTTCAAAAATGACTTGGGCAGGTATAATTTAGCTCAGTTTGAAATGGTATTTTTCTCAAAGCATTGGTGACAAAGGAAAATGTCCTTCATGTTCCAGGTTTGCATTTGAGTCTGGCGGGGAACCTAAATGTCCTCACTCCTGAGCTCATGCATTAGCAAGAAGAGAGAGCCTGCCACTAGCCAGAATGCCGCCCTTCCTGCACTATGAAACAGGAAACCAGCTGATTCCCTTTTAATTCTGAAAACAATGAACTCTGTCCTCAGCCTAATTTTGAAGAAATTGCATTCATTTTGATGTTCTGGCCAATGTTTAGTTTGTTTGGTCTTCTAATGAAGTACAATGGGAACAGTGTATCCTAATCATTCATCCATAAATTATCAAGAAAAGGTCTTGGGAATGCATTGTAATTTTATTTTTACACAGCCTTTATCACACGAAGGATCAAGGCATGCTTTACTGTGAAGATTTTATGCATTATTTTACTTCAGGTTGTTTGATTTAGACTGCAGTATTTTTTTCTAATATGATTAAAATCTTAAGGATTAAATATAAAGTCGAGGCCAGAAGAATTCTACCTTCTGAGTTGTCAGATTGTGTGATCCTTTTCCACTTCCGTCAAATCCTTGAAAAACTGTTCTTGCCAAACATGGGTGGGTGGGATATCCTCCTCCTTGCTGCGTTTTGTGACTTGGTATTAAAGCTAAAACAAAGATGTTACAAAATACAGATTTTTCAGGAATTAATACAAGGTGAAATAGAATAAAAAATCATGTCTGTCTGTCAGTTTGGCTTGTAACAGGTGAAATAGGATGTTGTACTTTAAGCATTTAAAATTAATATAAGAGAGGCTGCAGTCATCTATACAAGAAAAACTGGTACTGACACACCTAAATCTATTAAGAGCTTTGAAAATCTCCACACTAATTATCACAGTGTTGGTGGTATCAAAGGCATGGCTTTACCAGTTCCTACTCATGCAAGTAGTTGTATAGAAGTCTAAGAAACTCTTATACAGTAAGGGCTTAAAATAGAGGTGCTGTATTTTAAGAAATGTAATAAATTATTGGGTACTATAGTTTTTTAGACCAGTATGTTATCAGGTTTAACTATACAGTAGGGAGGTGCTTTTTAATTTGCAGTGAAGTCAGATACTAGAATTCTGCACAGATATGCAAAATTTTATTCACTGCCAGATATGGGAGCCTTGTCAGCCCCAATCAGGAGTATAAAAATTTTAGCATGTCTCTGAGGCAGAGCGAACCAAAGGTAGTTGTAGATTGATCATATAGGGGAAAACCTTAAGAGTCAAGTTTAGAAAAAGGTTGTTATTCTTGATTGTTGTGGTTTGTTTTTGTTTTTTGACAATGGTGCCAAACCTAGGAAAGAGCTGTGTTTTAGACTAACGAATATATTTTATGTTAGCAGTTGTTCCACTGGTTCATATAACCAAAATGAATTATGTTGTCAACATTATATTTTTGACAAAATATTTTTCTTTTTAGACCATATTATTAGTTCTACTTTCAGATGCATAATCTTACTAGATTGTCTAGCTTATGGACAATGGCTTTGGTGGAATCTCCATCATTGGCAGTATTCAAAGAAAGGTTGAATAAGCAGTGATCAGGCGTGATCTAAAAGTAGCTATGTCTGAAGTGTGCTGTAAAGAGCAACAGTTGTAAATTGAGAAGCCCTCCTCTTTTATCTCCCCCAGCAGACAATAGATTGCTGGGAAATAACAAGAGCTATGTAGGTGCATATTAAAGACCAGGTGCATATTAAACAAGACCAGGTGCATATTAAAGAGGACCATGCTTGGCAACATGAGAATGAAACAGAGCTCTACAACCAGTTTACTTATGAAAGAAATTTACAGGAGCTGAGAGAATTTATGTAGTAGATGCAAAAAAGGAAGTACTGACTGTCCATTTAGAGGGTGTGATATGTGGAGTTATGCTTGCTGTCCCATGTTACAGAGCAAAATGGAGGGCGTTTGGTTTTCCCCATGTTTCTGAGTTTTTCTGGTTACTACATGGGGTCAGGAAATATTTTTTTTTCCCATCCTATGGCTATCTTCCCCATTTCTTCCCCACCCTAGGGTTACCTTACTCAGAAGCATTGGGTGTTGGCTGCAGCTGAAGCTGGGAAGTTTTACTGGGATGTACCTATGTGGCTGCTGGAACTAAAACCAAGGGTAGAGGAACCTCCTATTAGGTTAGACCAATGACCACGTTTGGGATCATGAAGGAATTTTACCCTGTGGTCAGACTAATACAGACTGTGTAGGGTTTTGCCTTTATACCTCTGCTTTACCAGTTAGCATGTTAGAGTGCTTTTGGTGTCCGACTAGCTGTGCAACAGGGTTGATTGGGTAATTTTGGGACTAGGTTAGACGAGCACCTGTATGGGGTGGTTTGGATAGGGATGATCCTGCCCCAAGCAGGGGGTTGGAGTAAATGACCCCTAGAGGTCCCTTTCATCCCTACTTTTTTGTGGTTTATGCACTGGAAGAAGGTCCCACTTTTTTGTGGTTTATGCACTGGAAGAATTGAAATAGCATAAAACCAAAGATAACATTTTTTTTAATCAGCAAACTTATGACGTATCTTGTGTTGATTTTTCTATTCACTGTAAAGTCAGTAGCACTTATTCTGTTGGTTTTTATTTATATTACAGTAGCAGCCAAAAGCCCCAACCAAGTCAGAGCCTTCTCTTTAAAGCACGGTATTGGTGAGAATAGTGTACATTTCCAAACCTCAAAGCTTACTTGTTTGGATTGTCTGAAAACTGTACAGTGTTGTAGCACTCTCTTAAGGCATTCTGTTTCCCTTTCGTTGTCCAAGTGGCATTTTCTTAGTTGTCTACATGGTCTTTTTGCTACTTGTATGCAGGCAGCCATTCTGTTCCCAGATGTGTAACCCAGCAACAAACCCAATAATGGTGGAGGACCCTTGTATGGTTTAGCCACCATAGCTGAGTAGCTCTGGCACTTGCCTGAGAAGGTGAAGGTGGTTTGAACCTGTATCTGTCATTTCTCAGTATAGTTTCTAACCACCAGGCCACATATTAGGCACTACTTTTGAATCTGGGCCACTGCCCCTTGTATGTAATATAGTCACTGGGTGGGGGAAGGATGAATGGTAGTATGTAGGGGAAGTTTGTGCCTCATTGGGAGTAAGGCTCTAGGCTAGAGCTTAAGGCCCCCTTCTTTCCCAGCCAGCCACCATCTCACTGAGCCACCTGCCCTCTGCCAGTTTCAGTAGGGGTGCCAGAGAGGGGACTGGCTGATGCCTGACCTGTGGCGTGGCTGTTAAACCACTGTGCTGAGTCAGAATAATACAAGTTCAAACCCTCTTTTGTTGAGGGGGGCCTAGAATCTGGCTCTCCAGTTTTTCCAAGTAAATACCCTAACACTCCAGGATTGGGATTAAAATACTGGAGAGTCCTTCTCCAGAGTGCAACACCCAGTAGTCATGGGTCTGGGGATGCCTATATTTCTAGGGATTAGATAACAAACAGTAGGTGTCCTCAAGGACAATGCACACACAGTCAGACACATATATGGCTAGTAGGCCTGTGCGAAGTGGCTAGTATTTGCTTCAGATTCGGCCTGTTCAGGGGACAGGGATTCGATTTGGTGATTTGAATCACTGTCCCGAATCGATTTGGCTGGTGCTGAATCTCTGAATCAGCCAGGTCCATCCCCTGCCCATTCCCCCAGCCCAGCAATGGCTGCCCCTAATGGCTAGTGCCTAGCCTGCTGTACAGGTGCAGTCTGTGTGTTCACATATGCAGCCATACTGAGGAGTAATAGAATCCTCACGTGCATGTCAATTCCAAAAATACCATGTAGACACCTAAAAAACTGCTACAGAACACCCAGAGTTATTTGATTTTAATGCTGTAAAGTTTGTCCATTCTGCAGCATTGAAGTCTTAGCCATGGTTTTTAATCCCAATACTCTTTGCTACCCTCTAAATTAAAAATCTAGGTATGGTTAGACAGGGGAGAAATTTAAAAAAGAAACAAAAAAACCTGCATTATTATTTAATAAAATTCCTTTAGCCAAATTATACTTTGGGCCTCTGTATCTTGTTTTGTATCAGTACATTTCATGCTAATACTATCCTTTTCCTTGGTGCTGCTGTAATACAAATAATCCTAACTAGTTGAATACTTTGGATTTTATTTGGAATTTTAAAAAGCATAGAAAATTTACTTCTGAATGTTAAGCAGGATCTCTTGCAAATTACAAGAGAGTGGGCTTACATTCTGAATGCTTGAATTAAACCGTTGTCACAGGACAAAGCTCTCCCCATTAATAAAGGAAGTAGCAGGGGATAAGAGTCTATTTCTGACTGTCACTTGTTGGGTGACTCTGGATACATCAGTTAATCTGTCTCCTCTTTAGCTTTCCATTTTTAAAAAGTGGGAATGTTCTTTGTACAACACTTTGAGATACTAAGTTAAAAGGTGCTCTGTAAGTGCCAAGACTTTTTATTTTGGGGCAAATAAATATAACATCATTTCTAAATTAAAATGTTATCTGACTTGTAGGAGTTTGAATTGGAAAGCAGATGCTATGTAAATAATATATAAACAATTTTAGAATTTAGTAATTCTACTTTAAAAAATCCTTTAAAAATATTGAATATATGTGAATCTCAGACATCATTCAATGCAGTGCAAAGATGTGGTATGGACTTTGTGCTCCTGTCAATAATACCAGAGGTTTAAGAACATAACCTCCTGCCCATTATATACAATTTCCTGTGTGATGCTGAATAGATATAACCATAGTGTTTTTACAGTAGTGGAATATTTGACATCTTAATTTGAATTTAATTTTTTTCTTGCAGCTTTAAGTAGGTGATGGTATCATTACATGTGAATTAATGATTGCTATTTTCTTTTACCAGTACTTCAGCTTAGGCTGCAGCAAAGGAGAACAAGAGAACAGCTGGTAGACCAGGGCATCATGCCACGTAAGACTAATTTTATTTAACTTGTATTCTATTTTAAGAAGTGTATAATCATTGAAAAAGAAAATTTTAAAATAAATCAATAAAAACAATTTTAGCATTTGACAATACCCTTTTAATACCTTTGGGAAAACTTATAACCAGGCATTCAGGTTTTTTTTTACTGTGGAAAAATGCCCAGTTTCTCCTTTAAAGGAAAAAAATGTGGGAATTATGGGTTTCCCCTTGCAAGCTGGCAGTTTTCCAGCTTGGAGGGGAATACTTGGGGTTGGGGGGGGAGAGGGACTCAAGGGGCAGGGGGCATCACATGCACATGTGCACATGCACACGTGCACATGGCCAGCAACACAGCAGTTCAACACAGCCAGGCAGTTGTGGTAAGCAGCTGCTTGCTTGCTCCCCCAGATGCTTGTAGGTAAGTCTATGTGGGGGAGGGAACATAGGCTATGTGTCAGGGGGCGGGCAGCATAAGTGTTGCCAGGGGGGAGGTGGGGGGCAGATTGAGGCAGCCATAGTGAGGGATAGAGTGAAGCAGGGTTGGCAGTTGTGGCTGGGGGGGCAGGATGGAGCCACAGATGGCTTGTCTAGGGGGCTGGTGGGGAGGTAGGCTGCCTGCTGCTGTGTGCACTCCCGGGGGGAGGGGTGGGGTTGGGGCATGTGCCCCCCCCAGATTTGTGCATGGGGTGGGGAGGATGCAGACTGCCTCCTGTGGGGCTCCCAGCCCTGCTGCCTTCCTCCTGGGTGCCTCCACAGCCCAGCAGGCAGGGCTTGGCATGGGAGAGAGGAGCCAGGGCCAGGTGGCTTGGTGCTGCCACCAGTGGGTGCCC